TTTTTTATAACCAAATACAGTGAACCAAATCATTTGTTCAAAATAAACTTAAGTAATTCTGAATATAGTTACTAAGAAGTGCTGATTTGGTATATAGAAGAATTATTTATTATATTTTACCAAATATATTAAAACAAATCATTTTTTAACTATACCCAGACTATTTCTCTCGGTGTACACTTTCGTGTGGTAAGAGTAAGAAGCAGAGACCTTGTCTCTGGTGAGAAGGGAGCACTAGCCAACTTATGTTCTATCCGAGAATATATCCCTAGATATATCAACGAAATATGCATGTCGTTTTCGATTGACATGCATATTTTAAACGCCAATATTTATATGTGATAATTCTCGAGAAAATTTGTACTTTGCCATGTGGATCAGTGCTTTATCTTATATCGGTACATCTTTGGAACAGATTAATAAACCGGAACATTTACGGAACAGAATGTCGAATCGGGAAGTGTCTGCCGAAAAAGGAACGGCTGGTCACCTTAAATTAATATATCAACGAGAAACCGTTTTTTTCCCGAATTGGATTGTAAATTTATTGCATAAAACTATAATATACCCTATTAAAAACGTAAAAGTTTAAAAATAAACAAAAAGTATAATCATATCAATAGATTTTTTTCGTAAATACCTTGTTATCTTGGAAATGGTCATATTTTCATGATTTTTATTCATTCTAGGCGAAAAGGTAAATGTTGAATTCTTATTTTTGTCCAAAATTGTCCCAGTGTAAAGCTTCATTCGAAAAAAATATGAAAACACGAAAACCTTGCCATAAAAAAGGCCAAAATACATTAGAAAATAATAGCGGAATCAAATGTACATTCAGTTAGAGAAAGAGGAGATTCGTCTAGGGTGGAGTTTGCGGTAACACGCTAATTTTATTTAATATTTTATAACTTTTTGGTCTCATGACCCTGCACAATTATTTGGTAATGTACTTATATAAAGAAGCTAAATTAATTGAAATTAAAATTAAAAAATGTTCTTCCGTTGAAAGACAATAATTATTTGTATCTTTTTGAATTACCCTTAACCCACAAAACATTTATTTTTCATCAATAACATGTTATTGATGTTTAAAATATTTAAAAAGATCATCAGACTTATAACGTTTTCTTCATTATCTATACAATCATTACAATTTTTGTGAAAGGGGTAGAAAACCTTCAAATAGACTAATTAAAGTTGTTACACAGGGTGGGCAAATTCTTTTAAATTAAATTTCCCTAAATTTTCTTTGTTTCCCAGTAACTTTTTTTAAAATTTTCCCAGTCTATGTGGTGGATAAAATAAATTTAAATTTATTTTCATATTTAAAATTGATTTAATATATTTTTGTACATAAAATCATTGCAGATGGGATAGGGTTTTGCGTGTAATTTCGATGGCTCAAAGTCAAATGTGGCTATTTACATAATTATGATTTTACAGGAGAATACTGACGTCGCATTTTTAATCACAATATGTACCTTTACACCGCCCCCTCTGGCCCACTATACGGCATGCTACAGATATTACCATAATGTGGTATGGACAAAAGCATTAAATTAGAGTATTAGTACAAGCAAATACGGCACTAAATCTACTAGCAAATACGGTATAATCATACCACATAAAGATTTTATGTTTATAATAAACATATTATTAACAATAAGTCTATAGACTTATAAGAACATTTAATATTATATCCGGTTTTGGATCAATATAACCTATATTATATATACCTTCAATTTGTATCCCTTCGGTAAATTTGGATTTTACTAATTTTGAAAACAATATGCCAAGTCATTTATTATTAACGATTTGTTAATCTGTAATTATGTTTTTGCCGAAAAGGTTATTTTAACAGACTTGTGGCAAATAATTACGGTTAGCCACAAAAGAACTACCCCTAAACCATTTATTATTCATATTTAAATTCAAACTGCTTTTGTTAGGTAGGTATTTAATTGACAGGGATGCGGTTTTTGCTGCTAATTAAGTTTAACTAAGGGCAGTGGCGTATTAAAATAAGAATACCTAGTAGTCTATTTATTCATTTTTACACGTAATTTTAAAAAATAAGAAATTATAAATAATTATTTGAATACTTTTTAAAATGTTCCTTAGAAATAATAATAGGTGTGTAATCTTATTATAATCTAATCAGCATAAGCTGAATTACCTATAGGTAATTCAGCTTATGCTGACTAGATTATAATAAGGTTCCATACATATTATTTTTTCCAAGAAACATTTTTTTGGTATGTATTTAGGTATGTGTAAAAATCAATAAATAGACTACTAGGTATTCTTATAAGAATCTATAGATTGATACGCCAGTATAATATAAATAATTATTATTAAGTTATTATTATTTATTTAAGCAATATTTAACTCTTAAATAAAAAAATTGGCTCTGAAATTACACCAAAAAAAAAAAAAACTGTTTTTCCTACAGAAGGCGTTTCCTACTGCATTTGATCGGGAAGCAAGTTTTTATATGGTGGGAGTTTTATCTCGCGACTTGTTTTTATCGCCTTCACCTTTTTTACGTTTTTCACTTTCCATCATCTACGCATATTCAGATTTTATTTCGGTTTCTCGCGCAGTCTCTTTCTTGGCATTACGTATGCACCAATGCCGATATAGACACCCCTTAGTGCTGAGGATAGGGGTGGAATGTAAAGTATTTTTTATTTTAAAACGCCTTGCGATTGGTCCAAGTAAGTATTCATATCTGATAGCAGGAAATTCAGGGAAAACTACATTTCCCTTATACATAAGGCTGTAAATAAATGCTCTACCTATAATAGGAATAAAAATGCACGTACCTACATACTTGCGTAACTTAAAATTTTGTACCAATAAAATAAATAATATTACTTATAAATATTATATTTACAATCCTTTTAAATTTTATTTTATTTAACAATTAAACAAATCTTTATAATAACTATCTACACTCTCCTAAAATATACAAATACGTAACCTAATTTTCAAAAAGGAATCAAATATTATTTTATCTCTTTGATTCTACAGCAATATATATCCTTTGTTATTTTATGTCGAGAAATACAATTCCATGTATTATACTCCATGGAAGTACAGGAACATTAAATTAAATGCAGTGCACTCTGGTGAGTTCTGGCTGAGGCTAAGGACCTGTTAAAATCATTCATCATATTAATTAAAATAAAAGTTTGATTATACATTTAAAAGCCTAAGAAAATGCCCAATGAGAATTTACTAAAAACATGTTTATAAATATTTACAATATAAACAAGATATAAATTAATACAAATAGTTTTATGACATACACCTAAATGTAAGCAAACTTAGGGTAGTTATCTACTCCCACATTGACAAACTGTGACTTTGTGGAGTTTTAGTCACCGGTTGAAGTTAGCTTTATTATAAACGGTAATTGGTAAAAAGTAAAGTTAAATTCGTCTGACAGATGTCAAATGTTTAACAAATAAAATTTACTGTAAATTCTTCTTTGTGTTCGTCGTAGATAGTATGCAACTCGTTTATAAACTTTTCTAGAGACTTGTTTTTATTAAACACTCTCTCGCAAGCTTCGCTCGTGAATAATTAAAATTCCTGACTAAAATACCGTTTATTAAACTTAATACATAGGTTATATACTATTACATAATCGACTGCTTAAGATCCATTATTTATTAAACATATTCAAAAGTTTAGTCACATATTTGTTGTTTAGTTTATAAGGGACTAATAAAAGTTATTGCTTAAGTAGATAATTGTTTAAATTTTATTAAATAACTTATCCACAAATTAAGAAAAATGTTTTGTCAACCCACCGCAGGAGGTAAACCGAATGTCACAAACTTTAAATTGTTATTTATTAAAGAATGTTATCCTGGCACTAATGAAATTTAATTGAATACCAATTAACTGCTAAAATAATCAAAAGCAGTTGACTTTTTGGAAACAGATGCCAATTTTGAATATGCGGGAATCAACAACAGACCCTTGCATATGGGCTGGGTTATGAGCAATACTTTTTTTTTACTTATCTAATCAATAAAATAAAGTACCTAGGTAATAACTTAAACAATTTAATTTGTGATTTTATTGGTATACTCGTACGTTTTTAAGAAATATTGATGCTTTTCTTATTAAATCTATGATTGACCATGTTTCAAATCAAATTTTGCGTTTGAGATATAATATACATATATTTATTTATGTGCATCCAACAGGCCTAATGCCCAATAACATGATTATATGATATAGGTACGTATAATACTACAAGTAATACTAATAACTAATTAGTTATTACTTTTAAGTTATGAACGACGATAGATTTTATTCGGGATAAATGTACACATTAAAACCTACCGTAATTTAAAATTAACTTCTTTATTATAACTTAATACAAAATTTTTAAATATGAATTAATTTACTTATTATATAGCATTAGTTATGCCCGTTTATTTGATTTAATTACCATTTTACATTAAGTTGAACCATTACAAAATAAACAATTTGGAATAAATAAAAAAAAACATCTTAAAGTAAATTGTGCGATATATATTGTTTCTCCCAAATATTAACTATTTAACTCTTTTTTAGAAATGGTTTCAAATTAAGTTTTGCCAAACATAAATTATAAATAATTCTATAATAAAAATCGATGTTTGAATTAATAATTGGTAAAATTATAAATAGCAAACGATAGTACCTAAGTATGGGATTCTCCATCGTATTGATTTAAAGCGCCATTAAAATCCACGAATGAACAAAAAGCAAAAAATACATAATCCTTTTTCTTTTCTCCTATACATACATTCACATAAATACATATCTAAAATAGAGAATAAATAATCCATACAATTTATACAGAGTATTGTGTATAGGAACTAAGCGAGCTACTATTGGCTGTTTAAATTTCCCCTCCAATCGCATAACCGTGGCTTTATCCCCACTTTTTTCGCAGCATCCTCTGATGTAAGTGTAAGAAGTTTAAACGGCAACAAACTGCCTGACAGTGCGTATAGTCTCCTTGTTAGTTATTTTCTTGTTATATAGACATTTCAACGTGTATTTTGACAGTGTCAGTGACTTTTTAGTGTGTGATATGAGAAAAAAGTGACTTTAAAGTGTTGCCAACTATTATAAATCTGGCGGATATAACTGGAGAAAACTTAAGGAGGTGGGTCGAGAAAAATCCCACTCTCCTGGAGACCCATCAACAAGAAACCCCTAAATCAATTAAGAACAACAATAACATTGATTTTGAAAAAGACTTTTGGAAATCCAAAGATATGCCAATGTTACTACATCAGCCAACTTCACATGTTTTGTTATCTTCGCATGAAACTGATCAACCATTAGACTTTACAATGTCAAAATTTAAGACAAAAAATACTTTGGTGGCTAATCAATTAAAACACTTTTCCAATTTTACTACACATCAACATATGATGATGTTACAAAATAACGGACTCTACTTTAACAGAAGTAATAATAACAAAAGTTTTACAAGAGGAAGCTCTTCTCCAAGCTCCAGTGAGCCAGATGAAGAAGGTGTTGGCCCTCCATTGTCCCCAAGAAGCTCCAGATCTAGTCCCACCAGACTTTTACCCTTAAAGAGTGAAGGTAAGTAAATAAAAAAAATATTATTGTATTTATATTTATTTATACATATAGGTACTTGATAAATTATTAAAACTAAGGTTTTTAATTTAATAAATAATTAAAACGTTCTAAAATTTTAGGACATTTGGATACATATAATTTATTTATTTTTTAAAGCTTACCTACGCCACCCTCCTTTTTAAGAAATATCACCTGTAATAAAAAGTCTTACATTCTATAGCAGGTAGCTTTGCAAAAACTATCAATAGCCCAAAGGCCCAGGCATGCATCTAATAATGCAGGGGAATAGAATTATTTAAATTTTGTGTATTTTAGGTTTATTTATGTGAAAAAACATATATCACCCACTAAATATTCGCAATTGTCAAAAATTTTACACCCGGACCAACAGTATTTTGTAAAATAAATTTATTATGAAATACTAATTATCATAATTTACATATTAATACTTAGATATTTCAATTAATAAAATATCAAAAAAAACTTTCTTATTATATATTTTGTGGTAATTGTTTCTAGGAAAATATTTGGATAATTATTTCTAAAAAGTACCTCAAAACCACAAAATTTGGGGAGTACTACACCTGCTTCGGGGTAAATTGTAAAACAGTTAATCTTAAATAATTTAAAAACATGAACCTATTATTTAAAACATTTCTTTTTTAATATTTTGATGTTAATTTGCGAATATTGTTTCTCCAATGGTCAAATTACTCCATATAAAATAAGAATTATAATTAAAATACGTGTGAACTGAACCCTAAAATAAATGCATGTTTTATAAACCCTAAAAAAGTTATCTTAATTGTTCGAAATTAAACTAAATAAAAATTTTAAGGGGTTTAACTTCTAATAATAAATCATGTCCGTATGCAAAAAAAAAATTAATTTGTGGCTGGGCATTTTTCTTTTTTGCGCTACTCGTTCAACATCCTATATACAATCATTATTATAAAAGTAACTTAAATATAATTTTTTTTTAAATAGATTTATAGATATAAAAATCATATTTTTATTTTTAATTATGTATTTTTCAAGTAAAATTACCCATTCGTAAATCCTAATAATTAAATTGGGAGAATAAGCTTCTTGAAATGATAATTTCTATTCCACGGCATACTTAAAATTCTAAATTCTAATATAACATTTATTGTATCATTAGGACAATCATTTTTGCAGCCCTATATTATAATAGATAAAAATAATATTTATATATTTTAAAAAAAACTTAAAAAAGTTAAACAAACTTGTAAAGGTTATTTTGAATACAATTGTTGTTTCTTTTTTTGAATTAATAAATATTTTCAGCTATTAAGTAATAAAATTATTGTAAAAACTTTGTAAAACACCTATATAGTCTATAGATGTACCTACATACGGTTAATAGGTATTAGATTTTTTTCAGCTTGTATGTAGATTGCTTCAATTGACAAAAAGATCATTATAAATAATAAATAATGACAACGCCGGTTTATTTTGCGCAAATTCCATTCTTAATTTTATAAACACGAAAGGTATACCTATAGGTATAATTATTTTGTCAATTGTTTAAATATACCTTTATATAAAGTAATATATAACGCGGGAATAATTGCATTATTTAGAGTTCTATAGAACACAAGTATATATATTTGCGAAATACCTCAAACCTAGCATGTTTTTGCTAATTAAAAGGGATTTCGATAACGGGTCCGGGTAAGCGAGATCCTGTCTAATTATAATTTTTAGACCCGCAAATTGGCATTGGTACACTGCATCTTCATATAAGTTATAACATGATCATATATTTAATATAGGTTTAAATTATTATTAGTACCAGTATTTTTATGAATAGGTACTTTTATATCTCTATAACCTCTTTTGCAAAAATTATTTTTAAACTCGATTTTCAGATTTATATGGGATTTAAAATGTATAGATTTAAATATTATCTATTATTTAATCACTGTATTTATTTTTCACGACGAATAAAACATGAATGTTTAAATAAAATAACACGACATGACACCTAATTCCGACGGGTTAAATTGTTCAAAAATCCTGAATAGTAAAATTTGCTAACTATCTTGTAATAAACAATGTTTCCGTTAAATATGCATATAAGATGAAAAATACAATATTTTATGTATATATACCTAATATTATATATATTATTTTAATATTTTTACGCTCGGAAACTAATTAATTTTTTTAGTATCTTCTGGATTCCCCATTAACAAGTGTTAAAGAGTTGTATCCTTACACCCCGATTAGCTTCCTGATAAACTATAGGCTTGAAAGTAGCCTTAAAAGTTGCTTAACATAATATGTTAATATTATGCTATACCAAAATATCCAACCCGGCAAAATTAATATTTATTTTAATGGTATGTTTTTAATTTCAGATAATCCCCAAACTTCACCTCTTAGAACTGAAAAACAATATAGTAAGTATTTTTTAAGTATTATCTTTAAAACAATTATATTAAATTGTATTTAAATTTATTTTATTATATTTTTATTTTTATTTTTATTATTTTATTTATATAAAAATACTGCAGTTTGCAGTTTGCAGTGCAAACCTATTTTTATTTGGGTTTCCGTAAACCTCTAGGATTTCATACAGGTACAATTTAAAATATACAGTTTTCATTTCAAAACTTTTCCCTCAAACACCTAAAAATTGTTATTGATGTGGGTATCTTTTTATGCAAAAATTAATTCACCCACTTTTACCCCATGTGCACAGAAGCTACCAGCTTAAGAATCTTAAATGAATAGAGGTTATTTTAAAAGTCTTTTAAACCTATAAAATCGGTTTGTTAAGATATTTGTGAAAACTTTATTTTTTAATTTATTGTTATACTTTTAAAGGCCCAATACCACTAAAAATAAACCAAAAATTTAAATGTTTAATTTGTTTTAACTGTGTTTTCCATATTATTAAAAGGTTTAATATTTTATTGTACAAAAAATCAGTTTAATAAATGCTTAAAATATTAAATAATTACCGTTTATTACTAAAGCAGATATTTGTTTAATGCGTTTTTATTTTTATCTCGGAAACGGTTTATTTTATCGAAGTTTGAGAGGTACACCTTTTTAATGGTAGCCGAACTGTGTAATCGAAAAATTGCATCAAATGTTATAAAAACCTAACCTCAAAGTTTGTATTGAACAATAAGCTTAAAGCAACCCCCGTTTCTACGACACTGTGTTCATTCAAACAATTGTAATTATGTGTGAATATGTGTTTTGGTACTAAAAATATCACCTTTCCAAGACTACCATAGTAGAAGTTATATTAAAAAAACTGATACACTTTATCACCCTGTATCTTGGAAACATAAGTATACTTATTATTATTATAATTATAATTAGGAAAAATATTTATTTAGGTTTTTGTCTTATTTTGACTTGCTCAATATTTTCCTAAATTTATGCCAATAAGTTTAGGGACACCTTGTATATATATTTATAGGTATACTTATAGGTACCTACTTTATATTGAATAAGAAAATGTGGAAATTTAATTTATTTGAGAGCTGTTATAGTACTATTTAGTGACACAGTTAATTAAATTAATAATAATTGTTTACAGTTTGGCTGAAAGAGTTGAAATTGACATTCTGAAAAAGTCACACCCCATATTTATGTCCTAAATCTTATTAAATTAACTTAGACTGGATGTTGCAAATCTAAAACCTAATCAGCCCCAAGTTTTAAATAAAGTAGCTCAAATAGAAGTATTAAGCCATTTTGGTATTACTGCTCCTGAATACTACGTCAGATTTACACTGCAACTGAAGTTTTCTTAGGTTTTGTCCATAAAATTCCAAATCCTAATAAATTGCATACTTGTAAAATGCAAACTTTTAAAAAGTTAAATAAAGTCGATTTCAATAGAAGAGTTAAGTTTTGTGAACAAATGACCGATATGATTTATAATTATTATAATACCTAATACCACATATTTTTTATTTAAATGGTTTTGTCAATCAAACATAAATGCAGATATTGAGGTAAAAAAATCCTCATCACTTATAGAAAATACCCAGTATCCAGAAAAGATAATGTATATGCACGCCAGTGCGAGTGCAGCAGACACCTATTCCAATGGAATATTAGCAAAGAAATATTTAGTAGCGCAAACATTTTTTTTAGAATAGCGTATTTATAATTAAATTTTTTCCTAAAAATCCGGAATTTTCCCATTGAGCAGGCATTTGGTCCATTTTGTTTTGTTTCACTATGTTATTTAAGTCCGGCACTGGTTAGACAATGTATTTCCAAATATGACCAATCTAAGGGTCCCTTTTGCCCTATAATGAATAGGCCAAAAAGGACCCTTAGATAAGGACCCTTAGATTGGGTCCCTTTGGGGTTATTTGTTGTTTATTCTTTAACCTCAAAATTTAGACCTTAGCCAAAGGATTACAGAAAACTGTCGCCGTAATTTCAAACACTATTTGGCTAATAAAGGGCATTATTTAAAGCATTTATTAAACGAATTTTACAATAAAATATAAAACTTTTTAATAAAATTAGAAACACAATTAAAATAAATTAAACATTTGATTTTTTTTAAACTAAAATAAATATATTTTTAAAATATCTTTAATAGCTTTAAAAACTAATAATCCAAAATTTAGAGATTTAATAGACCTTCAAAATAAGGTACTCGATACCCTTTTCTATTAAAGATTTTTAGGTGGTGACTCAGTTCTTCCGTAAAAAGCTGCCCCCTCGATTTTTAGGTGTTTAAGGTTTTTTTTTAAATCTATTAAATTTCGAGAAATTGAAGTTGGGAAGTTTTAAAATGAACACTCTGTACATGTTAACAGAATGCCTCATTTAATTACAAACAAACCTGAGTGGAATTGTAATAAAGAATATTTGAAGTTATAGCATAGCTAAAAATTAATTATTTTAAAATTTATACATTTATAAACATACCATAATTACGGCGTTGAAAATATTAGGCGCCTGGGCCCACAAATGCATTTTTATAGATTTACTTTTTTGTTCAATATTAACATGAATGACTACCAAGTCAGCTGCCAGTTAGTTAATGTCTTTTAAAATACCATAAGAAGCAGGTACAAAAATTTAGCACCAATTCAACCATACATATGTGTATAAAAAATGTTAAATTGTTGCATCCGTTACGATTCTGCTACCACATTACGAAATTTTGTAATTTGGCAAATAGGGACACTGATTATTGTTCTTCCCCTGCACTTATTTTATGTATAAATTAACTTTTGCATAATATAACTTTTATTAAATTGTTTATTTAATTAATTCTTAATGAAAATATATATATTTTAACGCAGTAAAAGTTTATACCTACCATTTGGTAAAATTTTAATTATAATAATAGAATTAGTCAAAAATAACTAAGAGCCGGTTTATCAATCTCTGGTTAAGTTTCAGTTAGTCTATCTGACAGTTTAATTCCATATCGATCGTTGTGGATATCCATGGAAATTATCTACCAGATAATTAACTGCAACTTTAACTGGACATTGATAAACCGGCCCTAAGTCATATTTGAATAATTGTCATAGCAAAAAAGCAGTCTGCAAAAAATAATATTTTTTTCTCCTCATTTTTTTCATACATGATAACATTATATTTGTTGCTCGAAACACGGAATTTAACATGCAAATGAATACCTACAGCACATAGATTTGAAATATTATGTCCATTTAATAAAAAACGATATTATTAAAGAAACAACAATTACTAAAAAGTGAAAAAATACTATGGCTTAAGTTTTACATAAACTACACATAAAATACTTAACACAAATTTATAGAATATGATCTTTGTACAAAACTTACCAAAATATTTGATATTTGATAGAACGTGAACAATTGCAATAAAAAGACAAGTTTTCAAGTGCTGTAAAGTCACAGCGAATACTGCCCAAGCGCATATGTACCAAGGGCGTCGATAATTTTTTCTTTGGGGGGGGACATATAAGGAAAATAATTTTGCAAAACTCCTTATTGTTTATTTGCTTTTGTATTTTGGGGAAAAGGATTATAAGGTACCAAAACTAAATATCTCAAAAAACATTTGGGTTGGTTAAAGGTTTGTTTACGTTTAAGCAAGCAAAAGCTCAACATTATCCATAATAAGGCTTTAACTCGATAGAACAAGTATTTCAAATTTTCCACCAAAAAAATGTATCCAAAATGTGGCAACGTCGGTATGGTTTGGGCGAATTAGCCTTTCGTTAGATGATGCGCATAAAATGGGGCTTTTATTATGCCACACTTTAAAAACTATTCATAGAGGGCGACTTGCATTCATAAATTATATTTGTAGTAATTTTTTTCTTAGGACTTTTATCTGGGGGGGAGTAGTAAAACTAATTTATGATATTTTGAAAAAAAAATCATATCACAAAATCTAGACGTGATAGAAAAAATCGGCCAACGGGAACAAATTCAGAGCATTAAAATCTTCATATTTATGATAAAATAATTTTGGTGAGGATTTCGTTGCAGACCAGTGTAATTAGTTAAATTCTACTGAATGAAATAGTCAAATTAGTAGTTTTAAATTTAAAAAGTTTTGACCCAGTCGGGGATTGAACTCCGGTCTGTCGCTTGTCAAGCTGTTATCATAACCAATGTGGCTATCATTGCTTCTTATTAAAATCAATTTTATTTGTCAATAAATATTGTTCATAATATTTTAAAGTTGAATATATTATTTGTGTTACTGCTTTGAGCTAAACTTTTTGCATATTTGTTTGTTTTTATGGACCATGTAACCATGGAGCCTATATGCATTTAATTCAAATAATACTTTGTTGTTGGCCGCAAAAGATTAAAGAAGTTACTTTTAACTCTCAAAAATAGTCAAAGACTAATGACTAAAGACTATAGACTAATCTTAAATTAGTCAAACTTTAACTATTTAGGTAGTAAAAAATAACTATTTAAAAGTAACAACGTTTAGTAAAAAATGCTGGTACTAATTCAAATTTTGACTATTTCATTTTAAGAGAGTACCAAATTATCGGAGGAAATTCTTTGAAATATCGTAAAACTTGCCTAATTCATTTAATGTTCTAAGGACTAACAAAATAATTTTTTACTTCTTATACCTGCATCAAGGGTCTAATGAGAAAAATCTTTTAAAAAGTTTTACTACCTGTGCAAAAATATGTTCTTTATGGCGCCAAATGTTTCTAAATTCGACACTTATGTCTAATTTTTATTTCTTGATTATTTGTTTATGCAGTTAAACTAATTTTTATAAATTAAATCTTCTAAAAATTTAACTTGTTTTAAATCGAGGTATGCTAATAGTGTTAGACTAGTTGTTTGATCTCCAATACTACAGTTAAACATGCAATATGATTAATACATTGTTTCTTCTTCAATATCTTTGAACTCGCCGCTTATTTACAAATTGATTTTCTTAGTCA